GGGGGGAATCTTTATGTTGTGTGTGTGTGTGTGTGTGTGTGTGTGTGTGTGTGTGTGTGTGTGTGTGTGTGTGTGTGTAAACTTTCTAGCTACTATTTGGATGCTGTATTCCTTTGCTAGGACTGGCATAGCAAGTACCACAGACTGGGTGAAATTTATTTCCTGTCCTGCAGGCTGGCAATCTGAGTCGATTCTTCCGAGGTCACTTTCCTTGGCTTGTACATGTCTGTCTTCTGTCTGTGTCTCCATATGACTTTCCTCAGTGCATGTCTGTGTCCTAATCTCTTCTTATGAAGACATCAGTCATTTTGGATTTGGGCCCACCCCATTGACCTCGTTTAATCTTAATTATCTCTATAAAAACCCTCTCTCCAAATATAGTCACACTCTGAGGAACGGAGGGAGCAGTTAGGACGTCAGCATATGAATTTTGAGGATGGGAAGTGATTCATTCCATAATCTTATCTAATAGAAATATAGCTAGCTATTATATCCATTTTTTCGGATATGAAAGCAAGCCCGAAATGAACTCAGTTTCTCAGCTCAGTCAGAGAAGAGGGCGAAGCATATGAGAAGCTTACCTCACAGGTTCCTCTGGTGGGTCTTGGTTTAGCTCTGAGATACACCCCAGAGTAAAACACTAATTTTCCCTTTACCTGGCTTGATGCTTTATTTTGCCTAAGAAAACTAAGATGTAGCCGCCACCGCCTCTGTATAAACCTGCTTGTATGCTGTCGTTTTTTCTCCGACCTCCCAATCCGTTGCCTTAGCCTTCGGGATTCGCTGCGTCCAAAATGAACCTTGGGCAGGAAAAGTTATATCCTTTCCTCTGTGGAGATCTTCCACTTTGAAGCATCAAATGAAAGATTTGCTCGTCTCAGAGGAGATTAGTAAGAGATCGTTGAGAGATTAGCATAGGACAGCATCTCTTAATTATAGTTTTTTGGCACGAAAGGAGGAAGATTGTTCGCTTAAGGTTTGGGGTGGAGGGGAGAAATTTATGAGAAGAGAGGGTGTAATTTACCAAGGAGAAATGTAGATGACAATCACTGAAAACCTACAGTCTGGTCCTAGTTGCTACAGTAAGGAACACATTGAAAGATCCTTTCATAAAAAAGATGATGAGACAATATACCGTAGACTCTAAAGTGCTCTCCAATGGTTAGCCTCAGAATAGTAATGAAAAGCTGAGAGTAATCGTTGAAGACCAACTCACGAATATAGACTAGACTATGAGTTTACTTTTGAGAAAGGGAGAAAACGATTATTTGCTGAGCATCTAACTGTCCAATCATCATATATTCACATGGTGTCGTTTATTCTTTCATCAGATTTCCATTTTCATAAATGAGAAACTGAGGGTTAGGAATAGGCAGAAACTAGAGTTACGTTCTCTGCCCTTCTCTAAGATAGCACAGATAATAGTCTCACATTTATTGTACCTTCTCAACATTCTGTGAATATTGTACCAACAAGCTAGTGTAAACGCAAGCCAATGTGACATAGGAAATCCTAACTCTTAAGCATAAATCTAAAATAATTTTATGACAGTGAGTATATGAAATCAGAGGTTGATGTATACAGTCATTTAAAATGATTCTTTACATCTTCATTGATTTGTGTGTCCCGGTCTCTGTGATGAGTGTCTGCGTTTTGGTTCCGCCATGTTTATTCTTTTGTTAACAGATGAACTCCTTTTAGCTTCCAGCCTTTGACAAATTTTTTTAAACGGATTTACGAATTTGACTAATTCCCCCCCACACACTTTTTTTTTTTTTTAAGTCCTACTGGAACAATCGGCTATTTGATAACATCTTTTAATCTGAGCCCTCGCCCCTCGATTCTCCAAGCAGCATCGCTATCTGCTTCTCAGCCAGGGATGCTGAGAGGTGGCGGAGAGCCTGAGGAGGCCCCATCAGCCTGGCTGGGATCAGTCTTTCATTGCCTATGAAAACCTAGGAAATTTCATCCCTCACAGCTCCAAGGCCTCTTCTGTATAGAATCGATTAGATGCCCTCTTGTAGGAAAGGATGCTTTTCTTTCGTATGTCATTTGTTTTTAATATAAGCACCAAGAAGAAAATCAAGATGTGTCCTTTAACAAATAATACGCAATGATATTACAATTTAAATTGTACAAAAATGGATAAACAAGAAGTGAAATCCTTCCTTTCCCGTTCCATTTTCTCTCCCCAGAGATTCTTGTGGTGGCTTCTAGAAAAAAGACTTATGCATATTCCCACATATCTATTTATATTATTTTACTTTCAAATTTACACAATAAGAACCACGCAATACACACTTAGGCACCTCATGCAAGTACATCTTAGAGAGTAGCGTCAGCACATGAATATGCGCCGTATTTGTTTAATGGCTGCATACTGCATATTTCCTATGAATATATCACTATTGTGGATGCTTTCTGAGTGTAACAAATGTTACAACAAATGAGAAAAAGATACTGATTAAGACATAAACATTTTTATTTTTATAATGAAATATATAGTATATATTTGTATATTTATCATAAAATATATATAGTATATTGAAAAAAGACCCGACGAGTCTTTTTGTACCTTCTTTGCAAGTCTAGCATCCCAGACTAGTGGAATATTTTATTAGAGGGAATTTAATGATGAATAGAGGGCATTTTTAAGCAATCTTGTAAAGACATTTCGGAAATAAAGTATTTCTTAATAGATCTAATGACAACATGCATCGAGAAGTTATAAAAATTTATAGCCATAATATTTCCAGGCCATTTAGAACATTCTTGAATCATGTTAGTACTGAACATTAAATCGAGGACTTTATAAATCAAAACTAAGGAATAAAAAGAAGAGTAGATAAACATATGAATAGTATTTCTTCTAAGTCTGATGGGAACTAGAAGATTTTACTCAATAACAGCGTGATGCATTTTTAAAATCTTTTAACAGTGTATTCTTTGGTAATTGAAGAAAAATTCTGAGCAGAGTTTATTTCAGCTAACCGAACTAGAACTTTTCCAAGCGTAGATTTCTTTAAACATATTTAAAGAAATTTTTTTTTTTTACCTTTTACTTCCCTGAATGTTTGACAAACATCAAATAATATGCAACACTTGATAATCATGAGATTGGAAATCAGTTGACAAGACAGTTTCCTCAGGAGAGTGGTCAGAATCTGTGTTAAAAGTTTTTCATCGTACGTGTATTTGGTTTGCACCAAGTTAGATTTGCAGTAAGTGAGGAAAAAGGCTTTGTTCGTCTTTCGTCCATAGGGTGAAGTGCCACCACTGGCCATTCCATTAGTGTCTGGGTTCCGGTAACACAGGTGTGTGTTTACGTTATGGAAAATACATCGAACTGTTTGCTTATGATTTGTGTACTTTCTGTATATCCGTTATATGTCAAAATCTACATTAAAAATAACATAGAGTACTAACGGCATTGTAATAAGTGGAAAGCAAACATTTAAACATTCTCATTTTATGTGCTCCAGAATTTCCTTGCTTTTATTATTATTATTTGGTACTCATTTATATTAACTTCCCTATTTGGGCAATTTTTATATTATAAGTATTGGGCACCTATAACTGATTTTCCCTTAATGTGGGAAAATGTATCTAAATAGTTTTCAGAATTTAACTGTGAATTCTTTTATATTAATCAGCTTAATTCTGTGGAATAAAAATCAAAGTTCGAAAGTACAATTTTGAAGACTTTCAGAGTATTTGAATTTGTTTTTGATCTATAGCCTTTACTGTTCCTGAGAACTATGTTTATTTTTGAAATAATGGAAGCTATGAGAGTTTTACATGATTTTGTAGCTTTTAAAAGCCTACTCTTTTCAAATATGTTTTCTCAGAAATCCAAGCAACATTAGGCAACTTGTTAAGGTTGACAGAACCAAGATTTGCGAATCCTTCATTTCCCCGAACTCCCTCGTCTTTGGAGCAGTTGTATGAATAGAATGTTCTTAAACAAGCATCTGCTTTTGTGGCATCTTTGTCTCTCTAACCTCTGTCAGGTTGACTAAGTTAAAAAATCCCTTTCCCGAACTTAAGACCTATTCAAGTGAAAACCTAACTGCCGAGGGAGATTTTATATTGTTTTAATCCATTCGTCCAAGTACTTTGGTGAAATCCAGTGTTGGAAATGTATTTTGGTATAAGACATAATTCCATTTTGGAAAATACTTTGCATATGGTACTTCTAAGTTATACTGATAACTCATTTAGAACTGACTTCTTATTTAGCCTGAATCTAATGGGCCTTAAGACTTTAAAACCCTGACCAGTTTGTGTAATGACTTTTTAAAGATATCACTTATACCTTCTAATTCAAAAACCTGGTCTCAGCCTCTTGTTTAAACCTAATCTCCAGCCAAGATCCCACCTGTTCCATATGCTTCTGTTCTGGGCACCTTTCCCTGAACCTTGCAGCCGCCCTGTTTGTAACATCGTCACCCTGCAATGCCCTGCCTGATTTTCTTTTAAGGTCCATCTCAAATGCCACACCCTCTTCTCGCTGACTCTTTAATCAAAACCAGTCGCTCTTCCTTCTCTGTTTCTGTTGCACCTGTCACACAACTATTGTAGCAAATAGGCATGCTCCATTATTGTCATTTGCTTATGTGGCCACGTATGTGGCCCCGGGCTATTATCCACGGTGCCTGACAAGATGGGGGCATTCAAGAAATGTTTGTTCAATAGAATTGAAGTATTTGGACAGGCTGGGCTTTTAAGTGCCAATTTGTTTCAGGGAAGACATTTTCTCAAAAGTTTTCTGTTTTAAAGTTTATGCTGCCATTTTCTGAGTATTCAGGGAAATACATATAATTATATATTTGTATACTTCTCTTTCTGGATGTACCCTACTTGGTGGTAAATGCCAGACGTTTTACTTTTCAACATTTGGGGCATAGTTGAAAACTTGATTAGGGCCAAAATAACTTTGGTTAAAAGGAACTTTATGAATTACCTAAAGATTTCATTTCTTATGATATTCTTAATTAGGGAGTCATTGAGAGATAATATAAAATTGCTATTTATCCTCTGGTGGTGAAAAAGCCAAGAATTAAATATTGTAATATTTACTGAATTCCTTGTTAGCAGGGAATTCCGAGAGAAAATAAGATTAATGTGGTAGTAGTTGCTTAGATCATGCGATACACTCAGTCTCTATGAGTTTAGACCTCAAGTGACAGTCACAGCAAAAGGCTTCCCTTAAAACAAGGTTAAATACAGCTTGACAGTGTCCTTGAAGAACTTAAAGAAAGAAGGCATTAAATGGACCTCTCACCATCCACATGCTTTGTTTCTGAGACAAAATTCTGTATAGCCAAGTTTTTCAATTTCAAAAGATGGTAGATGAAATCTCAGTTGACTCTTTTGACAATGTTTGAAAGGTTGTTTTGTTTTGTTTTTTTTTTCTCATTTGACATGCAGCAAGGACATATGGGCGAAGGAGAGGTAATATTATTGTTTCTAACTTTTGAATGTCTAGTTGTATTTGGAGAGGACCCAGGTGTGCTCAGTTTATAACCCTTGGGGGGAAGTGGGGAGGGGGAGTGAAACAGGTTCGGTTCGGTCCATACACACTTTCCATGCTGTAGTTGATCCTCAAGACATTCTTATTTTGAGGAGTCAGAATGGTAGGATTTGGATTTGAATCCAAATAATTTCCCTATATTATGTTATAGACTGCACTTATTGATATCTAACGACTTATTTCCTTTTATTTCTGAAAGGAATTTCTTAGGAGAAAAAAATTAAGAATCTTTCAAAAGGAAAATACAGTTCGACTCATCTCAAAATACCTGATTATATTGGAAATTCAATTATATTTGAATACCTATGTCTATTTTTTTTTTTTAACCAAGTCAGCGTAATACATTTGGTTTAAAATGAGATTAGCTAAATAAAATAACTAATCCTATAAATTGCAAACATTGAGGGGTGGGGGAAGCTCTAGAATTTTTAGAGAATTTTAAGGAATCATTTCCTTAGAGGTGCCTGAATAAACCTGATTCTTGCCATCTGTAATAGATTTTGCCTTTTTACTTTAAAAGCAAGACAGTAAAATAGCTCAACTTCGAAATGGAAGTGACTTTTGAAGATCATTCAGGAAATAGCCTCCAATTTTGTGGTCTTTTTTTAAATCTTCATAATATATATCTCTTTTGAGCTGCAGTTGTACAGGATAAATTTGTAACCAATATACTGTTATTATTTGTGTTTAGTAATGAAAGTTGAAAGGAAGGCAAGTTTGGCAGCAGAAAGATATCGGAATGTTTCAATAAAGGAAGAACACTTAAGATACACTTCTGCAAGACCCATTAATGAATTCCTTGTGTAGTACCTAGAAGTAAATTGGCAGCCTGAAAAGTGACAAAACAGTGCTTGAGAGATTCTGCAGTTATTTATGGCTCTGTGTTTTGCTTCTGATTTAAAAGTTTGGTCTTTGCTGTCAGGTCCATAAGGGAAGAACATCAACTACGTTGGCATCTCTCGTCTTTTCTGCTTATGTAGTCTATAATGATATAATTTTTAAAGAGCAAACGTACTGACGAGTTTTTAGAATTAGCACAGTTGCAACTGATTATTACTCAACTAAAAGAAAATAGATCTGTAGTATGCCCCCAGATCCTAAATTCGAGAAGCCCACACAACGAAGTGAGATAACAGCTAATAAATGGGTTTTGATGATATCCCATTAGTTAAGGTAAACTGAGTGCTCACTTTAAGAATGAGCATGTTCATTTTAAGGACTTTCTCAGAGGAAATCGTACTGGCTCTATCATTTGACTTTTTAAAAAAAAATTTAAGTGATCTAGCATCTGACAGTCAGATCTGACAGTGTGCACATCTAGCTGCCAAGTCTGCTGCCAACTGCTTTCGAAAGAGAGCCCTCTCCAACTGTCTTTCCATCGCCCCTCGCTGGAGTTTCTGGATGCCCGTGGGAGAGTCAGCAGCCCTCGCCTTAACCACGTACTTTCTCTCCGGCTCAGTGGGACTTGAAGGTGATGAGAATTCAAGAGCATAGCTGAGTGATCCTATGTGTGTTATTCAGTGAGAAAACTAAGGGCAGCATTTTTATTGAATGAGCTGTTCTCCTTGTTTGTCGTGCAAGATAATCAGTGGCCAGGAGCCCTTTCTGTTAGCTTTTTTTCCTGCTTTCTATTCCAGGTCAGTCTTCACTGTTTCCAATGGAAGATGGATTCTTGGATGATGGCCGTGGGGAGCAACCGCTGCATAGTGGCCTGGGCTCACCTCACTGCTTCACTCACCAGAATGGAGAAAGAGTGGAACGCTATTCTCGCAAGGTGTTCGTGGGCGGGTTGCCTCCTGACATCGATGAAGGTATATTTAGAAAGAAGCGTTAGTAGCCCGATACCCAGATGCGGCACACACGGTAGATAACTCAGAGGTAGTGGCTACTGTTATTGTGGCAACAATGGTCTGATCTGGTTCCAGGTATTCAGCCTCGATTGCATTGTTTTCTTTTCATACCTTCCTATCGTGGCCTGTAAGGTTCATTCACAGAAGGAGTGGGGAGCAGGACTTTGGGAACCAGCCGAAGCAAGTGGTTGGACTAAATGAAAAAGCGTGAACAGCACTGGGAGAGCTTCCCAAGGGTTCTGTGTGTCTGTGCGGGCTGCCTCGGCCACATTCAATTACATATTCTTTGTATTTCTTTCCCATCTTTTGATGAATGCTCCATAAATATATGGTCAATTGTTTAAAAGTCTTAGATTAAGCATGAACTTTTGAAAAATATAGACTGCAATCGTACCACGAAAAAGGGTATCTTTAGAGTTACATCATTTTGTAACTTTTCACTTGTCAAATTTTTCATGCTTTCTAAAGGCCATGCCCTGTTCCTAGGCCGATTTACAGCAGTGAATGAGGTAGATAGTCCCTGCTCACACGGAGTTTACGTTCTAGTGGGGCAGGCAGATAAAAATATGAGCATGCAAGGAAATAGCAGAGAATAAGTTTTGAAAAGAAAACAAGGCGATCAGGTACAATAATGTAGGGAGTCAGCTTAGAGCAGGTGGTTAAGGAAATTCTCTTAGAGGAAAATGACATTTGCACTGAGACCCGAATAAGGAGCCAGCCATGCAAAGATTTAGAGGACCAGTTGTCCAGGAATATTTTATTTATCTGTGGATGTCAGTGACCCTAATAAAAGTCAAAATAGCAGACCGTGTACCAACCATATATCCTTAGTTGCTTTTTTCCCTAATCTCCTTTGTCTTGGTTTCCTGAATGGAAATGAACTAGTTCATGTTATGGAAAATAGAAGAGTTTTCTCTAAAAGTCTATAAGGTCTAATAATATTTAATAACATCCCATTTAGACTGAGTTGAATGTATTGAGCCACTTAAGACGATCATTCTTTTGGAAGATTGAGACAAAAATAATTTCAAAACGCCAAAGACTAAAATAAACACAAATTGGTTTTCTTGGTGGAAGCTGTGCCGAAATTTCAGTCTGGACTGACTCAGTCTCCATCCGGTCCTGGGAGGGCATAGCTTGTGTTCACAGCCTTCGTCGTGAGCCAACTATCTGCTCACAATTTGTCCACTCCAGTAAGCTCCTGGCTGTGGCCTTCTCTTTTCCTTAGTATTATGGGTTCTAGGGGTTTTTATCCCTTTAAGGTCAAATCTTTAGCACTGCTGAGCCCCACCTGGTCTTTGATGAGTAAATTATATGCATACGAAAAGAGGAGACTGAATCTTATCCAACCTGGCTGGGATAAACAACTCTGACCTAGATAGTCTGCGTCTTTTTGGAAAATTACTCATCAACCTGAAATGTACAGTTCCTAAGATTCTTAGAGGCACAGGTAAATGTAACAGATTTGGCAACAGAGGCTTAAACAGAGCAAAACTGATGGGAATCGTGTTAGTCTTCCTGCTTTATCCTTAAGGCCACGTGTATTGATAAGTCAGTAGCAATTGAGGTCGGCAGGCCTTTCTACCGGAATGGGAGATATGTATTCCTGAAGAATATTGTGTTCTGTAGAATCGTGCACTAAAAATCACGGGGTTCATGGGAGAAATAGGATTAGAGGCAGATCATTTCAAACCCAATGAACTTTGTACCGGAAGCACTAACAAAAAGAGAATTGTAATTGACCCTTGAACAATGTCGGAGTTGGGGTGCCAACTCTCCCTCGCAGTCGAAAACTTGCATACAACTTTTGACTCCCCAGAACTGAATTTCTAATAGCCGACTGTCGACCGGAAGCCTTACCGATAACATAAATAGTCAATGAACACATATTTTGTATGCTCTATGAACCACATTCTTACAATAAAGTAAGCTAGAGAAAAGAAAGTGTTATTAAGAAAATCCTGAGGAAGAAAAAATACATTTTTAGTATCTGTTGAAAAAAATCTGCATATAAGTGGACCCTGTCATTCAAACTCGTGTTGTTCAAGGGGCAACTAGTACCTCAGAGATGACCTGGACAGCGTATGTCGCAGAGGTTAGAGGCTGTCTCGAGGAATATTGGAAATGATAAAACCAATGGAGCAGAAATAGTGGCTTGCAAGCCCAGAGCTGACGCAGGTGCAAGTGGACCTCTGAGCACCAGAGGAAGTGCAGACTCTCAGATGAGAGTTGGGGTACACCTGTCTGCCGAGAGAGCTTTGGCTGCTGTGCTCATGTTTAATTTCTTATTAAGAGAACTGAGGGGGCATCTGCCTGCACATCAGACGAGCTGGGGGGCTTTTTCCTTAAATAATTCTACTCCCACTCTGCTAGCTCACCTGGCCTAAGAAGAACCATCTGTGAACCAGGAAGTTCCAGGTTATGCCAAAATCACCCCCCTGTTTACCAGTCTCACAGGAGCTAAATGGTTCTGTAGAACAGACGACACGGTTCCAACCTGGAGGAGACAAACGGTTCCTCCAGACCGAAAGTTGAACATACTCCTCAGCTCTGCTTTCCGTTCCTCTGTCCTGCGTATTCCTAGGTCTTACCCGCTCTTTCCAGAAGTTCCTTGGAAATTTATTTTCCTGTAGACCACTCATCAGTTGTCCACACATATAGTATAACATAACTGGTATCATTTAAATTAATAGCAAAATATGATCGAGTCTTCCTTGCCTGTCCCACGTTCCCTTCCTTTCCCTTCCTCACGAGGCTCAGAGGTATTGCTGTGCAAGGCAGTGGGTTGGCGAGGGAAAGGAGGGTGCCAGGTGGAGGGCGGGCATGGGTATGGACGTGGGCGGGGCCTGCTCAGAGGCCTCAGCGACAGTACGCATGGCACCCAAGAAATCAGGGCAACAAGGGCTGGGGTGCAGAGGTACAAGGTAGAGGAGACTCCCAGGGTAGCAGAGAGATTGGTTACCTGAGCAGGTAGGTGAACATATTGAGGTTAAGGGGAACTAGGCTACTCACTGTGAGAAGGGAATTTACAAACACGGAAATGGGGAGGGCTGAAAAAAACTGTGAGATGTTGGAGGCGAATTGCAGGTGTCAATACGAACTCATTTTTATAAACACACGCAGGTATAGAAATAGTTCTAAATGTGTCTGCGTGTGTATATTTATGTATTCCCTAGCTTCGTCCACTGAGAAAACTTAGGGATTATAAATACTCATTAGCAGTGAGCACATGGAGTACCCAGATCTTAGTTTCTAAATATTTTTTGTTGCTGAAAGAAACCAGGACTTCTAGAAGAAAAACAAACAAACAAAAATGCAGAGAAGGAACAAGGCAAGACCCGGAGGATCTTCTTAGGTTAGAAAGCACAGAAGCACTTAAAGAATGATGGGGATGGATCAAAAGGATGTAGGAATTCCCACTGGCCAAACTGGGGACAGTTTGGGGAACAAACTGAGCACCAAAGTAAATAAGGAAAGATTTAGATTTAATTCATTAAATAAAATAGCTCTATATTGATATAAGTACATGGCTAAATAAGTGGATGAGAAGAGAAAGCTCTTCCTTATTGTATAATACTCACTGGTAAATGTAGAGGGAATGATGGAAACAGATAATCACCATTTGGCAACTGTCCTTGTGGTAGCTAGTACAAGGCGAGAATCTTTCATTCATGCCAAGGCTGATGAGAAAATAGGATACTGGTGGATAGCACAACACCAGGTTGGCAGACACCAACTTGACCAGGTGATCAAGATTCACATGCCCAGTTAGGAGAGGGTGACATGGCATCATTTTGGTGGTGATCCTGTTTAGAACTCATAGCAGGAGTCTGGGCATGAGGGAACAGGGGGCAGGCCCAGGTTGAGAGTCCTCCTATACACTTTAAGACTGTCGAGGATACGAAAGACAGAAGAATGAGGAGCCGTGCCTACCTGAAGAAGACTCATGCCCCCGAGACATGACAGCTAAGGGCCACACATGTGCTGGATCAGAAAGGCAAAAAGAGATACTGTTGGGAGAGTTTGAAATTTGGATGGAGTCGGTGAATTGGCTGGTGGTCTTGTATAAGTATCAGCTTCCTGATTGAGAGGGTTATACAGTGGTATTTAAGGAAGTGACCTTGCTTTGAGCAGGTAACAAGAGTTGTGTTTTGGGTTGTAGAGCATCATGTCAGGAAAAGATGATAGGTAGGTCGTATCATGCATACGTATAGCTGGAAGGAGGAAGGGGAAGAGGCACGAGAGGGGAAAGGTGCAAAATATTAATTAGTGGGGAATCTTGATGAGGGGATGCAGGAGTCCTTTGTACTATTCTTGTAAACGGTAGATTTGAAACTGTGTTTTCTAAACTAATTCCCCAAAATGATCATAAAAATATGTGAATCTTTTTTTCTTTGTTGTTCATCAGATGAAATCACAGCTAGTTTTCGTCGCTTTGGCCCCTTGATTGTGGACTGGCCTCATAAAGCAGAGAGCAAGTCCTATTTTCCTCCTAAAGGTAATTATCAAGATTCGACACACGTGTAGTTTATCCTTATATTATTTAATGTTTAGCCTTTTCATAAATATTTGCCTTCCCTGTAAGATTTTCCGTTGTTAAACATATATTTTCCTAAATGCATCTTTAAAATTTCTACCTAATATGTACTTTCCATTCAAATTTAATTTTACTCTAAAAGATGTTTCAAGATATCAAACTGAACTTAAGGTTCATATTATCAGACTTTGGGTAGGAATATTCAGTTTTAATTTTTTTCACTTTTTTAACTCCTTTTTCTTAGTTTTAGTTTATGCTTCCTTTCTCTTGAAGAATGACGAAAAAGAAAGAAAGAAAATTAAGAAACTGTATAAGCGTTCTTTTCCTTTTTATCAGGCTATGCATTTCTGCTGTTTCAAGATGAGAGCTCTGTGCAGGCGCTCATCGATGCATGCATTGAAGAAGACGGAAAACTCTACCTGTGTGTGTCAAGCCCCACCATCAAAGATAAGCCAGTAAGTGCGCTTCAGTCTGGAGATAGTGTCTTGTCTTTTCCCCCAACTCCACTCGGTTTGAAAAACCCACCGATGTCTTGATGTTTCTCTTAATTGACACGTTTGTAAGTAGATTAGAAGTAAAGTTTTGTTATTGTCATCAGGCCCCTAACATGGACATTCTGTATCTTTGTGCATGTTATTTTGACATGGAATTTTCAATTAATTAACATATTGGTGAATATTTACTATTAAAAGACTTGATAATGTATTTGATAACATAGTTGAGTTTCCTCCGAATAATAGATTTAGCTTGTAATAGGTAATTAAGTTTCCATTTTGGTTCAGTTTACTCTTAAAAATGAAGTGAAGGGTTGGGATATTGCTATTTTTAAGTCTTTTCTAGTTTTACATCTTGATTGCTTGGATTAGTGCTTTTAAAAATATAAAATGTTCTGTAACCGTTTTAAACTCCTTTCCCCATAAATTGTCTGTACTGAGAATGAGATGTTTCGGTGCCCTCACTCCCTAGGTACAGATTCGGCCTTGGAATCTCAGTGACAGTGACTTTGTGATGGATGGTTCACAGCCTCTCGACCCACGAAAAACTATATTCGTTGGTGGTGTTCCTCGACCATTACGAGCTGGTATGATTAAACAACAACAAAATCCTCTTTGTCCTTAAGCATAAGAAATATTTTATAAAGATTTTTCAGGATAAATTCTCCACCAGCATTTGCATGAATGTCTAAGAGAGAGTTCTAGAATCGGAGTGTCTCGGTTTGAATTCATGTGCTCTGTTCCCCGTGAATAGTGGACAAATTACTTAATTTCTCGAATTCTCAATTTCCTTATCTATCAGATGGAGTAAAACGTTATATAGAGTTGCTTTGAGGATTAAATAAGATAGGGCAAAGTGTCTCATAATGCTGGTGATCATTACTCACTTGCATCATCAAGTGGAAAAAAACCAAAACACTCTTCAAGAATAGATTATATTTTGAGATGTTTAACTTGTTTCCCATGTTCTCATTTGCTTGTCAGCTGTTTATCCAGCTCTGAAATACAGCAGGATTCTTAACAGCGTATTGTGTTTTTAGAGCAGTACTTACAGAAGAAATTTCATCCCTAGTCAACTAGTTTGAGGTGTAATTGTATGAGTGAGATAAAGAACGTAAAAAGAACAAGAATGCTGTTTCAGAGTTATAACATTTCACAGAGAAGATAATTGTCCTCTTCTTGCCTCAAGTTCCCCAAGAAATTACTACCTGCTTCATAGGGTTTCTGTGAAGATTAAAAGAGAATATATGTAAAACACTCGGCAGAGCCCCTGCCCTTCGTTACAAGATAAAAAGTTAGCCCAATGGAGACCTGGTTATGATTACGTTAGATTTTAATAATAATTATAATGACGTGAGCTCAGACTACAGATAAACTGCTTTGAATGATATCTTTTCCTGATGTCGAGGTACCCTTTCTGCTTCTCCCTTATTTAGTGGAGCTTGCCATGATCATGGATCGCCTGTATGGAGGTGTGTGCTATGCTGGCATCGACACCGACCCTGAGCTGAAGTACCCAAAAGGAGCCGGGCGGGTCGCATTCTCTAATCAACAGAGTTACATAGCTGCTATCAGTGCCCGCTTTGTTCAGCTGCAGCACGGAGAGATAGATAAACGGGTAAGTGTTCTACTACATTCTGGAAAATTCTAGAAATGGCTCTCTAAATGTGTCATTAGCAAGATTGGAATGGGGGAATTTTATATGACATTAATAAGCTGACAGTTCTGCTATGGGACCAATTAGATGTATGTCCTACTATATCAGTTAACTCGAGTCAATTAATTTTTCTTAAGCTGTCACCCACATCCATTCATTTATTCAGTTAGTCAGACATTCAATAAATATTTACCAAATCCTTTAAACTACGTTATATCAAGTATACAGACATGAATGCCCTCGAAGTCTCCTGACCTTTATTTTTTTCATCCTAGGACATCACGAATAACTCAGAAAGCCCTATTTTCCAACGCACTATGCAACAAATGATTGGATAAATTCACTTCTAGGACTGCATGTCTTAGAAATATTTCATTACCATAGCAGATTAAGTAGAAGAAATCATAATCATTTGTAGTCCAGGTAGTAACTGAAATTAGGTAGTAACTAGTTAGCGCTCCTTCCAACACTCCTCTCTGCTGGCTTAATCCTCTGAATCAAAAGGTTGAAGGAAACTTCCGTTTTCCAATGTATTTGAAACGCTATGTTCCATGATGTATCTCATTTCTTCGCGTTCACAGATTTATCTGCTATCTCTGTGTTGCATGCATTCAACAAATGTTTTCATGCCTAGGACAAGAAGTCCCTGTCCTCATGAGTTTCTGGTCTGGTAGATAGAACTCTGTCTTACACCAACCAGGGCTACGCAGAGTGTGGTCTGTAGACTGACTGCCAGTAGGCAAACGGTGTGTTCCTAGTTCGTGGTGTGATACGAATTTACCCCGGAAGATGAATCAGCTCCATTAACAAGCTCAGTGTTTAGTTCAGCTGGCTTTTTTTTTTTGTCTCATGGAAGGACCTTGATTTGAAGGAAGCGATGAGTTGATTTACATTCTGACGTCAGCCCCTTATTTCGTGCTAGACCGGCGCTGTCATTAAGGCTGACGCAGACAGCTGACACCCTGAGGCATCGTTCTCAGAAAGGGTGGATCGCGTTATGCTGTTCTCGGTTCAGCGTGTCAGCCTATCAGGTCGACAGCGGTTTGCGCGTCCCGCTTCCGTTTCGTTCGTGGATGCTGTCATTCAGTGGCGGTACAGAGCTTCCGGTCATAGTGGTCATCGTGCCGTACTGTGAATATGTTCAAAAGAAAGGTGTAGGTTCTCTTATCCACATGGAGGAAGGGGGCCGTGTTAGCCACAGAATCCTTTAACATCCCTTCTCGTTCTTTATTCACATGGAAAAATACGTACATCTGAGCCAACAGTCTGTCCTGCCTCGCTGCTTCATTCCGACATGGGTTTCAGAGTCGTGACATTACTCATTAGAAATTCCGACTTAATTTTCACTCCTCTGCGATCAGATTATTCTAAAAGCGTCCTCGCCACTCTGTAGATGTTAGAATGGCCTCGGGCCAGAGCCCACTGCTCCGGTTATGTCTGCTCTCGCCGTGTTCCGTGTCACCCTTGCTCTTTTGTTTACAGCTGACCTTTGTCAGGATTCCTTGTCAGAACTGGATGGCACCGGTGGTGGTGACAGTCCGGTATAAGGGAGTTTCAGCCACGAGTCTCTCCAAGACTAAAAATAACCACGTCTTTTCTCACTGGTGACTTAGTAGCCAGGTTATTTTTAATGCTCGAGAGGCTCAAATGCCAGGTTGGCCTGCTGAGCGCCGGTTTTATAAAGTCACCTCTGACTTTTAGACTCAAGTAAACCATTCTTGCTGACAACGAACAGTGCAGGGTTTCAGATCGTGAGTACCATGGCGCGCCTTGTTTGTGCGGAGTTCTGGCTTTGCGATTATAACCAGAGAAGCAGACCCTGTTGATAGAAACCATGACCCGGGCTGTGCCACACAGGAATCAGGCGTCTTCCCTCTGATCTGAATATTGAAGTGCTCTTCTGTGGCACTGGGAAGTTCTTAGTTGGTTTTGGTTAAATTATAATTCCACATACGGTGAACATCCAGATCCACTCATTAAAACGACGGTTCGTATCTATGAAAACTCCTCCGTGGGTTTAATTTCATAATGTTCCACTCTAAATAGTTGCCTTCACTTTTTTTTATTTCTGATGGGACCCTTGTTTCCCTTTGAAACGCGTTTATTTAATAAGATGAAAATGTAAAGCGATGTGTGTGCAAATCTTACCGGGTTCTTAAGAGATAGACTGTCTTCCTTCCCATGAGAGAATTTTCAACATCTCGGCACGCCTTCTTTCAGGAGGTGATGGGGACGTCCACACACAGTAAGAATCGCCCGGTCTAGGCCCTGCAAAACGTAAACCCCTCTGTTTAAATTTTCGGTTGCAGGTGGAAGTGAAGCCATATGTCTTGGACGATCAGCTGTGTGACGAATGTCAGGGGGCCCGTTGCGGGGGCAAATTCGCTCCGTTTTTCTGTGCTAACGTTACCTGTCTGCAGTATTACTGTGAGTATTGCTGGGCTGCTATTCACTCTCGTGCCGGCAGGGAGTTCCACAAGCCCCTGGTGAAGGAAGGCGGTGACCGTCCTCGACATATTTCATTCCGCTGGAACTGAAGGACAACTGCATTGCTCATTTTCGGGCCTCACGACAAGTGCGCTCTTCTGTTAATTCTGCCCCCTTCCTCATCCTCTTCACGCTGGCATGCCCTTCCGTAGCAGTCCGTAACAGTAGTCTAATGAAAAGAACGACCTATCATAGAGGTGTTTTGTAGATTCCCGTGTCACCGAGAACCACACGTAGGAGCTCCTTTTTCATGTTGCCCTCATGGCGCGTGGAAGTTTCCTTCTCTTGTTTGGCGTGAGAACAAGAGGAGGCCAACTTCCTGCCACGTTTTCTTAGAGGAGAGAGAAATATTAAAAGAGAAATGAAACAATAGAGTATTTTGGGTTTTTAATTAAGTGATTGTTAATAATATAACCTATAAGAATACTTTTATTAAAATAGTGATGCAACGGTAACACTATCGGTCTGTGCTGACGCTGTGTCCCCCACGAAATGCCTCTGCCTTTTTCTTCCTTTTTGGCCTCTCTCTTTTTCCATCCCCCTTTCTATTCTTTTAACAGCAGCGGAGGGAGTTAACAGTCATTAACAGGAAAGAGCATGTTAAAGCAAACACAAATGCATGAGCGAGACTGAAGCAGCATTAGAACTCGTTTTAAGGGGTTCGAGGCCGAATATAATTTCGTTCTGCCTCGGTGACTACCACATCAGAAAAAGAAAAAAAAAAAAAAACTAGTAAAATAGGCAGAGCTAGGTTTATTTTCTTTTAAACACTTTTAAAAATTTAGAATGTAAAAATTGGGGTAATTTACCGCTGAGGGGAGTGCACTTATTTATTTTTAAAATCACTTATCTGGTCACAGCCCCAGGAAAACCTACCAAAGCTAGAATTAATGACAACTGGTGGGAAAATTAGCGTTCCCTCCCCTGAAGAACAAATGTATAAATTTTATTTTTGATGTTATATATAAACTCTATATCCTAATTTACTAACACTCATCAGGTGTCAGCCTTTGCTCTCCATTTTGACGTAAAAAAACAAACAAACAAACAAACAAACAGCTCTAGAGATACCTCGAGGATATTGTTTTTGATTTTACGTTTTCGTTCTTGTAGCCAAAACTGGAAGACAAAAATCAACATACAAATTGGCTGCCGATTGGCTTCCTTTTCGATGAAAAGTTACTTTGGGTCTCCTGTAATTTAGCTGTAACATAGAAAGTGAAAAAAAAAAAGTTTTTAAAAAAAAGTTAAGTAGTCGCAAAGTGTTTTGCACCGTTGAACTAAGTAACTGTGTAAATCTGTGCAAAGGTACGTATGTTTATCTTACTCTTCCTATAAAATAAAATAACATTACAGTTTCAGAACTTAGCATGGGACATAGTGTTTGAAGTGCCAACTTCATCAAGTAATGCATGCTTTATTATAAATACAATTCTAGCTTCGAAAGGCGTTATTATGTGCTGAACAGTATGCTTCAGGGGTAAATTTAAAATAGTCTCTTGAAGCCCTGGTCGTGGAAATAACTTTTATTTTAATTGACTTTCTCTCGAAATGCCCTATCCACCATTCAAAGGATTATTATCAGTGTGCAAAACATCAAAAAAAAAACAAAAGCTAACGGCGACCTTGCTAGTTGTGCTGCCTAACGGTACCGTCTTGGATCCTTCAAAACCAAAGACTTGCCCCAGCTCTAGGGTGGAACCACCTGGCTGACGACCCCACTGATAAACCCGTTACGTTCCAAAGGTCAAAATGGAGGCATCCGCTGTCTAATCGTCACACGCAGAAAGGGAGTCGCTTTTCGAGAATTCCCTGCCAATATTGAAAGCAGTCATGCGAACGGAGGGTGCTCTTGTGTAGCTGGTCAGGGACTTTTTTTTTTTTTTCTTTTCTCCTGAACGACATAATTCGAATTGGAAGGTTCATTTGCCTCTTTTTCTTCTTTTCAATGCTTGTAGGTGGCTTGGGGTGTGCTGTTGTGTTGTTCCTACTCAGTAAACAGGTGTGATGAGTTAACCAGAAATAACACTGTTTGAGAACTAGCTTTGAATAATAATTTTTCCCTTTGTACATGACCTGCTGAATTTCGGTACAGTGTTTTTGTAGCTAACTTATTTTGTCATGCACATAATGTATATTTGTTATGCACTACTTTTGTATATCTTGTTTTTCCAACAGTGAACATTTTTAGGCACACTTTTCACTGACGGGATGATATCTCTTTATGCAATACCTCAATTTTTCATATTGCAAAGAGTAGCTTTTTGTACTTTTATTACCGAGAGATCTTCATATACTTCATTTTTTAATATAAATAATTTTAATAAATTTTATTTTCTTATATTCTGCTTTTTATACATTTCAGTGCTCTGCATACATTTTAAATTATGAATGTCGTGCACTGGCGATGCTATTTTAGAGTCTGCAGAGAAGAGAAAGCATGTTGCTTCAACTTCCTTCCCCAGCACCGGCTATTGGTGTACCTATAATTTAAGAAATAGTCTATGTAAAGTCACAAATTAATGAAAAAAAAAAAAATTCGCATGAAAGTGACAGATAACACTGTAGTTACTAAAAAATAAATAAATAAATAAATAAATAAATAAATAAATAAATAAATAAATAAATGCGTAAGCTTAGGGTAGAAATTTAAAACAACAAAATAAATAAATAAATAAATAAATAAATAAATAAATAAATAAATAAATAAATGCGTAAGCTTAGGGTAGAAATTTAAAACAACAAAATTGTCTACAGCTTCTTACTAAGTTTTTAAAATGATTCACAACGCAGACATTTTTGGTGAATGTTTAGCCGTTTTTAATATTAATAAATTGATGTTAAGTGTTTGATTCAGAGATGTCTGCTCTTTGAAATTATATATAAAGAAAACAAATAATAACCTGCCGTGGGACAGGTGTGTAATGTTAGTATGCACGACTAATGTAAGAAATCGTTATTCTACTAATATTTACTTGTGATTGTGTGATAAGCGTGTTTACAGATGATTTGGTTACACTTCAATTTACAGGGCATAAACAATTATTATCTACTCGGAACCTTCTCGATTACATGTCTTTCAGATTACATGGGATTGTAGTTGGGAGTTACCATGTAACTCAAAACATAATTAACATGTAATTAGTTTACAGATCGTAGGGTATCACTTCAGTTTCCCAAGCATGTAGTTCTAGCGTGCTAGCATGGCACCAGCCATGTACTTACAATGTAGTTACAGAGTAATTACATGGTTATTTTTGCAATGTAAAATAAAGTGTTTCTGATTGTTTTCTATGTAAAGGAACCCTCCCCCTTCCCGTTCTGGCCCCCACGCTTTGGTATAATATATATATACTTCTCCATACACAGACCTCTGCAGAATGCAAAACAAAACTTGCAGTGAATGAATTTAGCATTTTATGAGAGTACTGTTGGAAAGACTTGATAACTCACCCCTTTTGTTTTGAAGAGTTGAATCTTCTGTTAAAAGGTGATTTAAAACTTGAATGTGATGAATTGTGGCAAGTTAACTTCAAGTTATGTGCAATACTTATTTCAGACTTTTGAAAGATCTTTGCAGTGTAATCTTTGTTTTTAATTGCAGACATTTAAAAATGTCATTTTCTACTGTTAAGAGTAATCCTCTTTCTTGCTGGTGTTTCTAAAGAAAAGAATCAGAAATCAATCTTTCTACTAATGTAAATTTGAGATTATTTTTAAAAAATGGAATAAAAGAGGTTTTGGTCATTTGCTTTATTTTATTATCTTATTTTAAAGCTACTGTGATTGATAGCATTGTAAGAATTGGGACAATATTGTATTCAACTGTTTTATTTTTTATATTTTTAAAATTTAAAGTATAATTAGTTTTTATAATTTTCATCAGATTTTTGTTATATTTTTTGGAAGTGAAACTTTTAGCAAGTGGGTGTCTACTTTTTACTAATCCCTAATTTTTTTTCTCAGTGTATTGGCCATATTATCAGAAGGAAAAGTTATTTAAGTATGTCAGTTAATTGTACTACTTGGCTGAATTTCCATATAGTTTTTACTGTGTATGGGGAGCTTGTAGTATTTATTATAGCATTTTAAATAAGGGTAATTCATTTTTTATTCAAGTCATTTTCACGTTGAGTTCCTATTTTTGTATGTTCTACTCTTAAGTTATATAATACAGGTCCTTTTTAAAAAGAGTTCATTTGTTGAAGTGCTAGTGGAAAATTAATGTTATTAAATAGTTTGCAAATGACTATTTATACCAGTATGCATATAATTTTTAAATATTTGTAATGTGAGATGTTGAATGAATAAAACTTTTAACTCAGCTTTCCTTTAATATACTTATTTATTTTCAACTTAAGTAGGCTGTGTTTCCACGGTTGAGGAAATAATCGTTAAAAATATTAGGAATATGTCCCTGGGCCAAGGCAGAACGAACCCAGAGGCAGAGGTGTCCAGTCGTGTGCATGCTAGCGAGTAAGGGTGCAAAGCTCGCGTAAGCCCGTAAATTCTGTCGGCGGCTCGTTGGCTTTGGCCTGTACTGTCTGTCACCCCACATGCTGCCCTGCACAGGTCTTCTTATTTGCGGTCTGGAGTATGTTTCTGAGGCCTGAGTCTCCCGCTCTGTGCATCCTGTCATCCGCTTAAGGCCAAATGTCCAATAAAAGTAAGGGAACATGTGTGTACATTCAGCAGGGAACGTTAGGATCTGGGAGGTTCAGTTGTGGGTCTTTGTCAAGGGAGAGCCTGGACTTCCGGCCCCTCTACGAGAGAGAGGCTTTTGGTTAACAAGTCTCTCTTGATTTTCGACCCCCTTCCCCGCAGGTCCTCCCTGGACCGTGACATCATGGGATGTGGCCCCGGAGATCGTAATCTGTACAGCATGTCAATCAAAAGTATGTAGACTACCACATGCTGGAATGTGTTAGTATTTCTACTTTAAAACGCGTTTTTAAACTTTTCACTTAAGGGTTTATTATAACAAAATGTAACAATGAGACTATCCCATTTCATCAAATTTAATTTCTGCTCTTTTTTACCTTGAATACAGTATGCTTAAGACCAGAGGAAGCTGTAGTTGACCTGAGACAGATGGACTTAGAGATCTAACGCTTCGGTATTGTCTTTCCCAAAATGCTCTCCTTCCAATGATAGGGGTTCCTGAGGGTTGAACCAGCGGTGCTTAGGACCCCCAGGACGGCTAGGTCTCAGAAGCTTTGGCGGGCAGTAGCCAAAACTCATCTGGCAGTAGCGAAACTGACATTCAGAGTTCAGTGAAAGGCCCCTGAGGAAGCCGCAGGGACATTGGAGAGGTAGGTGGCATTTGGTCGCCACCTCTGTGGTATTCCTGGGCGTTGTGAGATGGCTTCAGCGCTGTAAGGTATAAGTAGGTTCAGTCACTGCAGGGCATACTGATTTTAGGCAAGTGCTGTGTCAACTACAAGTGATAGAACAACTGCATCTTGAAATGACATGTAGGTGCGATCCTTTTTGTGTCTGAAGTCACAGAGTAGTGAATCTGGAAAGTGCGCGAGAGGTGATCTGGCCTGCGTTTCCGTATCCACTGGCAGTTCACCTAAATCCGCCTGACAAGGAAAGCTCTCTACCCCATTCTTAACCATTCCTAACAGTCAAGTGATAGAATCACCTCTTTTGGTGATGGCTTTGTATCCACACCCAGTTCAGAAAGAAAATAAGTGATTTTTTTAGGGATTTTTTTTTTTTTTTTTTTTGAGTTTGAGAAATATTCTCCTAAAGTCTGATCAGAAGTCATGGGGAAGGTAAATTCTTGGTTTTAAAGATTAAGGAACATAGAAGATATCAATGAAATGAGTTTAAAAAAACATTTACAGAGTAATTTTTGAAGTATGTCATGACAATAATAAACAGCAAGAAGAATAATAATAAACTAATATTTATTTCCCAGATTATGATCTTTAGAGCACTAGGAGAGTCTCTACCACAAGAAAAGGACAAGAAATAACAATTTTGTCATTAAATAAAAAGCTTAGAAAATAAGGCACCCTGTTTCTTGGAAGGTCAAAACAGGCAATTGAGGCTTCGAGAAGCTCTACAGCATAGACATGTATTAAAGTGTTTCTTTCCCCTAAATCTCTTTGACTACAGACTATGTAACACAAGATCCCATAGTATGTTTCCTGGTGTCAGGAAATGCCACTTCAGGTTTTTTAGTTGTCGTTCTGCAAGGGTTGTCCTTAGTCACATCTGGGGCTGTCGCCATGACCACATTGAGCTTTACTGGGCTTCTACATAGTGGCCTTGCTTCTATTCCCGTCCCATTTCCAATTTAGCTCCCTAGTTCCCTTCTTCCTCCAGAAGAGAAAAGAGCAGTCGCTCTGCAGAGTGAACCATCATCACGTGGGTTCATCGAAGCTATTTTGATTATCCCTGGCTCAGATTCACCTGAGGGCCAGAAATACCTCTTCAGACAAGCCACCTGTGCTTCGACGCTGCCATTCCATGATTGGCTTTCTTACTTTCTATTATTTGTATTATTTCTTTCCTTCAAAATTTTTTCTTTGCAAACGTCCCCCAGCAACACCCCACCACCGCCACCACCACCGCCAGGCTCTGAGCGTGGGGACCACGGGCTTTGAATAAACTCTTAGGAATTCAGAAAATGAACATCGTGCCCTGCTATGCTTCGATGCTGCCATTCCATGATTTGCTTTCTTACTTTCTATTATTTGTATTATTTCTT